CCTCCTAGAGGGCTTCTGGATGGTTCTGTGTACTAAAGGGCTCCTCAGCACCAGCTCTTTACCTCACTTATGGCTGACTTTGCTCTCTTGCCTGACAGAGAGAGCCCCCGCCCCCCGCCCTCTCTGGAGACTGAGGCCTGAGACCCCACAGCTCCTCAAGTGGCAGTTTCTCTTCCTACTAGACTGATGCAACATGCCACATGCACCACACTCTCCCATTGTGGCCCACCCCGCGATGCCCTCAGTAGGCCCTTCAATTCTGAGGATAAAGGCCATACGGTATGACTGTCTAGTCCTTTGGGGACCGTCAGTATGGTTACTGCTTATCAAGGTGTCCCTGTGGATATGTCCTGGGCTGGTCTTGAATTTCTCTGACTCTCCCACTTCCACCTAGTGAGCTCTGCAACTGCAAGCGTGCACCACCACACCTGGTTGACATGGCGCTAGGCAAGCACTCAACCAACCGAGTTATATCCCCCAGGCCTCCTGTTACAATATTCAGACAGTTATTATTATCCTGTTGACAGGTGGGAAAGCTGAGGGTCCAAGGGGACAGAACTCTCCAAGACTCCATAGCTGGTGGTGTCCCCTGAGGCTTCTCGGGAGCTACCTTGTCCTGGAAGGAGGGGCTGATGGGCCTAATGGAACTGGCTTCTTTCTAAGTGTATGGCTCTGTACCCCTCTCTCCAGGTGTCATGGCTTTCCTATCTGTAAAGCACAGCTGCAATGCCTTTACTGCCCCCCCAGTTCAGGCACCTGGGAAGACGAGACACAGTCTCCATCCTCTCCCCACATCGGTCATAAAGTGCTGCAGCCCTGGCTGCACTACCTCCTCCTCCCTTACTGTCTTCTAATTTGGCACTTACAAGCACTTAGAGATAGCAGTGTCATTTCATGAAGAGGACGGAAAATCCCCAGGATTTAGGATATAGCAGGTAGACCTCTTTGTTGGAGTATGACCTGGGGGCAGCACTATCTGTCTAGGGGGCACTGCCATGGGCTCATGGGTCCAATTCCACAGGAACACGGGCAGTATTTGATCCATTTATCTTTGAGTGAGTGAGGCTATGGAGTCTGCTGCCTCTCTCGTTCTCCCAAAGCCCCCATGCCTTTCTGTGGGATTAAGCCCAGCTATGCCTCTGTCGGGGTTGAACTTGGCTTGCTGTGTGGTTTTCTAGCCTCAAGACAGGAATGCTGCAGGCATGCTCACTTCATCGGCTCCTCAGTACTGTATATCAGCCCCCTCCCAGCTAGCACTGGCCACTGGCCAAACCCTAGAACCCACAGAGTCATATCTGTGTGACAATGAGATAGATTATCTGTCAAGTCCTTTTTAGCTCCAGGACACAGACATTGCCTTCCTAATTTGGTTTGGTTTAGGTGAAGAATCAGAGTAACTTATTTTCCTTAGCACTGTACTGATAGGCTGCAAGCTGGGGGCCTGTGAGGCCCAGGATACCAGACTAAGCCAGACTAAGGACTAGAGCTGCTCCTAAATCCAAGAGGAAGAGAGAGAGAGAGACAGAGACAGAGACAGAGACAGAGACACATACAGAGACACATACAGAGACACATACAGAGACACAGAGAAACAGACAAGCAGGTCGGCAGACAGACAGACACAAAGACAGAGAGGGAGAGTATATGTATATCTTATGGAAAAAAATTGGATTTGTCCAAAGATTTGGTTCTTCTAAAAAAAATTTTAGTGTTGAAATAGCCCTTTTACATGAAATGATGGTCATTATATTAATAATGTGTTGTCTGAGCAAAGTAAAAACTTGGCATCCATGCCTGTTTTTCCAATTAATTGTCTTTTACTTTTCTGTGAGATTGCAGAACAAGGACTTGTATGCATGCTAGCAAAGAGTCCATACCCAGGTGGAATCATTGATGAGTTGGTAAATATTGTCAGCTACCAACAATTGAGAGCTTCTGGGGGAGGGAGAGTTGGTTTTCTTTAGAGGTGCGATCCCAGGTAGTCTGATCACACAGTAGTTGATGCTGCCCCCCCCCGCCCCGCGTGCCCCCGAGAGTATATGGGCAGCACATATGGACTCAGTGGGTTATTTAAAAATAAATGAGTAAAAGGAAAAAAGAGGAGCCAGGCACCATGGCACACAACGTTAATTCCAGTACTCAGGAAGTAGAAGCAGGTGAGTCAGGGCCAGCCTGGTCTACACAGAGAGTTGGCTAGAACTACATAGTAATATCTACAAATCTACAAATAAATAAACAAACGAATGAATGAATGGATAAATAAATAAAGTTGGGGGATAAAGATAGGCCTGGGAGGAGGTGGAGGGGTTAATATGGCTAGAATACTTTGTATGAAATTCTTGACAAATTTTAAAATGCTTGTCAATTTGCTGCTGGGGGTGGTGCTGCTGCTGTGATTTCTAACATCTGCCCATTTCTGTGGTGTAAATGTTCCCACTGTGGCTGATTTGTGTAACATGAATATTAAAAACCCAGAGACAGAGCTAGGCGGTGGTGGCGCACGTCTTTAATCCCAGCACTTGGGAGGCAGAGGCAGGTGGATCTCTATGAGTTTGAGACCAGCCTGATTTACAAAGCTACACAGAGAAACCCTGTCTCAAAAAAAAAAAAAAAAAAAAAAAAAACAAAACTCAGAGACAGATATTGGGGTTCAATCTTCAAGCTGAAGAGCAGAAAAGCAAAGCAGCCAGGCCACTCTCTCTTACCTCTACCTCAGACAGAAATGGGTGATCCTGGCACCACAAATCCTCAGAGTGCCCTGCTCTCCACCAAACCTTAGATTACAATCCTCTGAGTTCCTGTCTCCTCCACCTTATATTCCTCTCTTTGCTCAGCCATATCACTCCTGTGTCCACCTCCCTAGTGCTGGGATTAAAGGCAGGTGACCCCAAGTGCTGAGATCATCTTTGTGTGTGCTCTGTTTTTCTTTTAGACTGGATCAATTTCGTGTAGCGTAGTGTGGCCTTGAACTAACAGAGATCTGCCTGCTTCTGTCTCGTGAGTCCTGGGATTAAAGGTGTGTGCCACCACTGCCTGACTCTATGGCTGTGGTTAGCTTTGGATTTTGATCTCCAGTGGCTTTATTAAGTCATAACTAATATCACTACAGATTTCAAGCACTAAAGGTGATTGCTGAGTTGGAAAGAGATGCCCATGGTGACTCTTGTGTCTGTTCTTGTGATTCTAGCAAACTTCTGCAGTAAGTCCTGTGTGCTCCCTTTTTGGAAGAATATCCTTAGATAGGTCACTAAACCTTTTTTTTTAAACCCTCAACTTCCTCATCTATAATTTGGGGACTTTGTTTGCCTCTGAAGATTGAAGCCAGAGAGCACATGGCATGCTGGTACTGGACTTAGCACATGGTGGGTGCCCTTCTGTATCTCCACGCAGGAAAGATTATGATTGGTATCTTGTCCCCTAAGCCAATGAATGGCTGATGTCAGGTTTAGAGTTCGGGCAGAGTTAATAGATGTCTTTGAAGATCGGGTCCTTGACTCTACCCATTCTATCTAGATACAGGACTGTGTGAGACTCTCTCCATTTTTAGCCCCCAAGGCTCAGTAGTTGCAGGATCACAAAAGAGGCACCTGCTACATTGTCCTTGTGCCATCAGGGCCAGAGCATGCTGGTGGATGGAGTCAGGCAGAGAGCTGCAGCTTTCCTTCTGCAGGCTGGCCACTGAAGCTTACAGCCTGGCCTCTACCCAGGCGCGAGGTTAGACTTTGCTCCATGGTGGGGAACAGAGCTGGGGAGTCAGGCTATGGCTCAGCCCACAACAAGCTGAAGCTAATACCGCTTTCTTTTGATGTTGATTTTTTTTCTATCACGGTCCTGACATTCAGCTTGGCAAATTGCAATTAGTGATCTGCCCGCCTCCTGCTCTGAGTTCCCATGCCAACCGACCCGGGCACACACAATGGCATGAGCCCAACCCCCCCCAGCACAGGCCCGGGGAAGAATGTGGGACAAGGAGCCAGAAGAGAAAGAGTCCTGGCCCTAAGTGACACTAGGGGATGTTGTTGGCCCTGAGAAGGTTGTTGGGGACAGTTGTAACTTTCCTGACATCTCTCTACTCCATTGTGCTCTGTGAGTCCATGGCTTCTTTACGTCTCTGTGGTGGGTCCCTCGTGGGCCCTCTTGGAAGAGCCTTTTCTACAGCATGCTAAAATGGATGTGGGGCTGAGAATACAGGGTCATATGGGCACCTGGGCATCTTGTCCACGCACAGAGATCCCTCCGTTGCATCCTTGGCTCACCTATTCTTACGTTTCCTTATGCCATTCTAAGAGATGGCCCCAAATTATCTCAGAGGAAGCTGAGAGAGACAGAGATGGTTTTAAATGATCAGATGGTGGTACCGCATACAGACGGCCTGTTTAAGCTTGCAGTTCAGGGGCTTGCCAGACCTCCAGAAAGGAGCTGCATGGTCTGTACTGGAGCTCTGACTGGGTCTCTGATGAGCATCTCCTACAGGAAACTAGGAAAGCAAGGGCCATCTGAGTTGGAAGCTCTCTGTGTCTTCTGCTCAGATGAGGCCCAGGGAAATGAGTACCTCAACTTCCTGTTTACATGCTGGGTCGGAGGTGGCAGCAGTGTCCCCTCCTTTTCCTCAAACTTCACCTAGCTTCCTCATGTCTCCATCTTCCCTGGTGTCCGGAAGTCCCCATGCTCAGAACAGCAGCATCAAGGACTGGTCTTTATAGTGAACAATTAGTCTCCCTGCAGGCTTCTTCCAAACTGCTGAACTCCCTCAGTGCGTCCACAATACCCTTTCCTCTCCTCCCTGGCTGCCCGTCAGTGTGAGGAAAGCCTATGCCACCAGGCCAGACATCAAAGGGAAAAAACCACAGGCTCCCTCTTCTCCTTCTGTCTGCTCCTTCTCTGGTGAAAATTGGGTTGAGGGAGTAGCTGCCCTGGTTCCCCTGGGTGGCCAGGAATGGGTTGTTGCAGCTGCAGCTCCAGCAAGCCCTCCTGACATCTCTTTCTCCTCTGGATGCAGGATGCAGCACTGGGCCCGGCGCCTGGAACAGGAGATTGATGGTGTGATGCGGATTTTTGGAGGCGTGCAGCAGCTCCGAGAGGTAAGCTGGTGTAGTTGCTCTCCTGCAGGGACCTGCTTCCCAGACAGAATGAAAAAAAATGAGGGAGAAATGAGGGCGTGAAGAGGCAGTGACATCGTTGAAGTCCTGGCTTAGTGAGCTACTACTAGATCTCAAGTAGTGACTCCATGGGGTCTCAGTCTGACCTTCTCCAGGTGCCTGTTGGGACAATGGCCCATTCTGACGAAACTTGTGCTTAGAAGGGTGTTGAGACTTGGCAGTTTTCAAGGTTGGTGAGCTCTGTATTTGAGGCAGTGCCTTGGGTGGGAAGCCAGGCCCTTGAGGGACCATAGCTACAGGGTGTGCAGAAGCCCAAGAGTCTCATCAGCAAGTAAATAGGATGGCCAAGCAAAGCAAGACCCAGAGAAGAGGGCGGGAGGCCCGTATTCGGGGCACCATAGTCTGTATGAAGTGGCAAGCCTATGTTAAGTGTCAGAATGAGGGATCAAGGTGCGGGAGGGGGTGATTGATTAGGCGCCAGCGACCACATTCATCCTGGGAGATTATGTTAATGTTTGAAATAGTGATGTGAAGAGCCGGCCATCCGTCACCCCCAGAAGGCTGCAAAATGTGCTGCTGTCAGGCTACAGGCTTGAGCACTTTATGTGGAAGCTCAGAGAGGCTCAGAGAGCAGAGCTCTTACCGTAATGGGTGTGAGGATCTAATAGGAGGGCGTCTCTTCACTGGGGTCTGAAAGAGAAGTCCTTGCCAGAATCAAGCAGAGTAGTAATGGGGACCTCCTCCCCATAGTTGTCCTGGGAACAGCAGAGAAGACAGCTACTATTGGGGGTTGAGTCTAGGCCTAGGGCTCAGCAGTTATTGTTTCTGTCATCGTTCTTGGCCAGTGCCAGGGTCAGGAGATGAACCTCTGGAGTAGGCAGGGAATGTGGGAATCATCCTCAGCCCCTTTCCAGGCTTAGCTAATTCAGAGTGAGTATATTTACATTGCTTATGTATGCTTATGGCACAGCATACTTGGCCAAGATGTGTCAATGGGGGAGGGCACATAAGTGATGCTAACAGAGGTAGCTAATTAGTGAGGAGGGGTGTCCAGGTCTAAAGGTCTGAGCTGCCAGCTTTCTCAGCATTCCTTCTGAGATCACCCAGGCCTCTACCTCCCTTTCCGGGTGCTGGCCTTGAACTGCAGTAGCCCCCATCCTACTCTTCCTGTGAACTCTCAATGACTCAGCTGCACTTGGAAGCAGCCAGAGCTTCCAGAGAAAGCACTGTAGGAAAAGCTGTTCCGGAACAGGAGTCAATTTAAGCTCAGGAATAGCATTCCGCACTAACCAGGCTCTAAGTGGGCACTGCCAAGTGCAACCGTGTAGGTTAACGGAGGAATGGTAGGTCCCTGGAATTTGTGGAACACGCTTTCCCAAGTTCCTTATGTGTGTGTCTAATGCCAGTTAAGAGCCCTCCAGGATTTCGTATTAATGAGCAACTCAGAACATTTGTCTATGAAAAAATACTATACACTCCAGGCATGAGATGTGGACTTGTCTGGACTAGTGAGCTTCCTGGGTGGTGAGGGCAGACGTGGGATCTGACAGCAGACCTGTCATATGCACCTTGGGGAGAACTGGATCCCTCTGATCATCCTTCTTCACTGGGGAGTTTGCCTGGAAGATGGGG